AAACTTTACTTATAGTCATCATGACCTCATCGGGAAAAAATAAGATTTTATGTCCTATATAAAGCTACAAATGTAGCTTGCCTGACAGTGTAATTATTATTAATTTGTCATATGACAACGCAACATTACCTAATAAATTTTACCAAAATTTACACAGTAGGTTTCAGCAATGAAGCAGAAGACATTTAACCATCCAGAATATATTTATTCTTCTTATATTTTCAATGGTAGCCATGGAATATCTCTCCTTGCTTTGTCTCGATTTCGTTGATTTTGAATACAATTTATGTTGGTATTTTCTTGGTGTTCCTTAAATGTCCTGCTATCGACCAAAATATTAGTTCACATGGAAATCTGGGTCAATTTTATAAAATGTTTTTCAATTTCAGACACTTATCAGTCGTCAGTGGTGTTTTGTGTTTATCTGGGGGACACATTTTGACTATCGCATGGCAGTTATCAACAGGATGAACTTTACTGTTACTCGTGCTGACACGGGTGTTGTTTGTGTAACCATGTTATATTTGTCCTGGTAATTCTTCAGTTGCCAGTTGATATCGGTCGTGGTAATTTGGACATCACTTATTGTTTATGTCGGGGGAGTGGTGCGTACAATAGATGTGTTTTGGTTTATTTTTGTAACATTTACCTCCTTAAGGTAAAAGGCGGATATTTTCTATGGGATCTAAAACCATCCACTCCACGAGGAATCAGCCCACTGGTATGTATATATACAAATGTACTCTTACTAAATCTTGTCTCTGCCTCGTATAAGCCAAGAAAGCATACTCTGTCGGAACACATGGTCTAATTGTCCTCGTATGTTTTCATGAATCTCAGTGCAGCACTTTCTTTGATTCCTTTTTTGGGTTTGTATTCCTGCATCTCTTCGACATCATACATTTTGAAATGTGTTTTTTTCTTTTTTATTTGTGGAGCTTCTCTTCTTCCTTGTTTGAGTATCATGCCCCAGTAACACATGTGTTTTTAATTTAAAGGCAGTCCCTTTGATTTTTTTTTCGAATTTAACGGGTAGAACTTTAATGTAAAATTAAGAAAACTCTTAAGTAAAGTTTATCCTTTTGAAAGCATTATCAAATTGAAAAGAACATTTTTTAAAGGAAATTGAATTAAAAAAATCCACACACACTAAATAATAGCACCTTTGTATACATCTTTACAATCACTTACAGTAGATGTAAACAACGTATTAAATTGCATTATACGGGTATTTCGTCCTCGTCAGTGCTAAGCGCCTACATTTGAAAACCTTGGAGGCGAGAAATAGGAAACTCAAACGTGAAATCTAGATTGAACTTACCATCTTCAAGTGAATTAGAAGGCGTTTGTTATCATATCATCGTTGTATCGTGTTATAATTCGTTTTCTCACAACATACACGGTAAGTTTTAGTATTAATATTAACAATTCGTAACATGTAATATAAATCTTTATTTCGTTCATTAAAGATTGTGTCTTTAATGTAATAATACTATTTAGATAAGGAACATTTTATTATAAATTGTTGATATACATATGTGATAAGTTACCCCATATCTATAATTAACTGATATTATGAATCGTCCTTGTTTTAGATGTTTATGTTACAACATGTCTATAATTAACTGATATTATGAAGCGTTCCTGTTTTAGATGTTTATGTTACAACATGTCTATAATACGCTGATATTATGAATCGTCCTTGTTTTAGATGTTTATGTTACAACATGTCTATAATTAACTGATATTATGAATCGTCCTTGTTTTAGATGTTTATGTTACAACATGTCTATAATTAACTGATATTATGAAGCGTTCCTGTTTTAGATGTTTATGTTACAACATGTTTATAATTAACTGATATTATGAAGCGTTCCTGTTTTAGATGTTTATGTTACAACATGTTTATAATTAACTGATATTATGAAGCGTTCCTGTTTTAGATGTTTTGTGCTACAATGTATATTCTGTTACTTCTAAAGCAGGTTATCCGTAAAATAACTATCAAAGAAAGCTTAATGTAGGAAGCCAAATTAGGTTTCCCGAATAAATCAAGGCAAACTCACTAGGAGTTTTAAGTAAATTGACAAAACTGATTAGCTGTGTCAGAAAGTATAAACAATATATTGCGGATATGTGTTTCCAGATATAATAATATGATAATAAAAAATGAGATACACATTCTCAGTTGATATTGGAATGTCCATGATTTAAAGACTACAACTACTCTCCGAGTTTCATAATTCTCCAGTCAAAATTTAATCTGTTGTATGTAACTAGGTAGAATTAATACCATGTTGTATGTAACTAGGGAGAATTGATACCGTGTTGTATGTAACTAGGAAGAATTGATACCATGTTGTGTGTCACTAGGGAGAATTGATACAATGTTGTATGTAACTAGGGAGAATTGATACAATGTTGTATGTAACTAGGGAGAATTGATACAATGTGGTATGTAACTAGGGAGAATTGATACCGTGTTGTGTATAACTAGGTAGAATTAATACCATGTTGTGTGTAACTAGGGATAATTGATACCATGTTGTATGTAACTAGGGAGAATTGATACCGTGTTGTGTGTAACAAGGGAGAATTGATACCGTGTTGTATGTAACTAGGGAGAATTAATACCATATTGTGTGTAACTAGGGAGAATTGATACTGTGTTGTATGTAACTAGGGAGAATTTATACCGTGTTGTGTATAACTAGGGATAATTGATACCGTGTTGTATATAACTAGGTAGAATTGATACTGTGTTGTGTTTCAAAAGGTAGAATTGATACCGTGTTGTATATAACTGGGGAGAATTGATACCGTTTTTATGTGTAACTAGGGAGAATTGATACCGTGTTGTGTAAAACTCGGTAGAATTGATACTGTGTTGTATATATCTAGGGAGAATTGATACTGTGTAGTATATAACTAGGGAGAATTGATACCGTGTTGTGTGTAACTAGGGAGAATTGATACTGTGTTGTGTGTAACTAGGGAGAATTGATACTGTGTTGTGTGTAACTAGGGAGAATTGATACCGTGTTGTGTGTAACTAGGGAGAATTGATACCGTGTTGTGTGTAACTAGGGAGAATTGATACCGTGTTGTATATAACTAGGGAGAATTGATACCGTGTTGTGTGTAACTAGGGAGAATTGATACCGTGTTGTATGTAACTAGGGAGAATTGATCATGTGTTGTGTTTCAATAGGTAGAATTGATACCGTGTTGTGTGTCACTAGGGAGAATTGATACCGTGTTGTATAAAACTAGGAGAATTGATACCGTGTTGTGTGTAACTAGGAGAATTGATACCGTGTTGTATGTAACTAGGAAGAATTGATACCGTGTTGTATATAACTAGGGAAAATTGATACCATATTGTGTGTAACTAGGTAGAATTGATACTGTGTTGTATGTAACTAGGGAGAATTTATACCGTGTTGTGTATAACTAGGGATAATTGATACCGTGTGGTATATAACTAGGGATAATTGATACCGTGTTGTTTAAAACTCGGTAAAATTGATACTGTGTTGTATATATCTAGGGAAAATTGATACTGTGTTGTATATAACTAGGGAGAATTGATACCGTGTTGTGTGTAACTAGGGAGAATTGATACCGTGTTGTGTGTAACTAGGGAGAATTGATACTGTTTTGTATATATCTAGGGAAAATTGATACTGTGTTGTATATAACTAGGGAGAATTGATACTGTGTTGTATATAACTAGGGAGAATTGATACCGTGTTGTGTAAAACTCGGTAGAATTGATACTGTTTTGTATATATCTAGGGAAAATTGATACTGTGTTGTATATAACTAGGGAAAATTGATACTGTGTTGTATATAACTAGGGAGAAATGATACCGTGTTGTATATAACTAGGGAGAATTGATACCGTGTTGTGTAAAACTCGGTAGAATTGATACTGTTTTGTATATATCTAGGGAAAATTGATACTGTGTTGTATATAACTAGGGAGAATTGATACCGTGTTGTGTGTGTGTATATATCTAGGGAAAATTGATACTGTGTTGTATATAACTAGGGAGAATTGATACCGTGTTGTGTGTAACTAGGGAGAATTGATACCGTGTTGTGTAAAACTCGGTAGAATTGATACTGTTTTGTATATATCTAGGGAAAATTGATACTGTGTTGTATATAACTAGGGAGAATTGATACCGTGTTGTGTGTAACTAGGGAGAATTGATACCGTGTTGTGTGTAACTAGGGAGAATTGATACCGTGTTGTGTGTAACTAGGGAGAATTGATACCGTGTTGTGTGTAACTAGGGAGAATTGATACCGTGTTGTGTAAAACTCGGTAGAATTGATACTGTTTTGTATATATCTAGGGAAAATTGATACCGTGTTGTATGTAACTAGGGAGAATTGATACCGTGTTGTGTGTAACTAGGGAGAATTGATACCGTGTTGTGTGTAACTAGGGAGAATTGATACCGTGTTGTGTGTAACTAGGGAGAATTGATACCGTGTTGTGTGTAACTAGGGAGAATTGATACCGTGTTGTGTGTAACTAGGGAGAATTGATACCGTGTTGTGTGTAACTAGGAAGAATTGATACCGTGTTGTGTGTAACTAGGAAGAATTGATACCGTGTTGTGTGTAACTAGGGAGAATTGATACCGTGTTGTGTGTAACTAGGGAGAATTCTTACTCGTTATGATTTTGTATTATTACTTCAGCTTTCTCTAACATTTTATATACAACATGGAATTTATGTTATTTATTACATATTGTTATAGTGTTACGTTATGTGTGTTATATTATGTACTAATATTTAGTACTGTACACAACACATCCAGGCTTAAAGTGTCTTGTCCAAATCTACTCGTCTATACAATAAATGTCCCTCACTTCAGCAATGCGCGTGCATGCATTCCTGTTTTACGTCACGAGCTGGTATATTGTATATTACACTTCATGTGTGCCAGTGTTTAGGATGGATCGCCTCTCACTTTGTATGTCGTTTACCGTTGTCCTCGGGCGGTAGGTATGTTATTGATATTCATGATCTTTTTTTAGCCTCCAAACTCATCACTTCAATTCAAACAATTATATTATTTCTGTTTGGTACGTATGACCTTTTCGTGTAACGTTTCAGATTTAGACGTTTCAGATTTAGATCAAAGAGCGATAACTCTTCCTTAAGACCACACACGGTATTAACTGAAGTGATCTTATCATATATTATGTAATAAATAAGAAAATTAACTAAGAAAATTTAACTGATGTCCCGTCATTTGTCTACTTAGACAGAATCTAAGCTGCTTTAGATAACAAGCTCTCTCCATATGTTGCACAATACACGTTCGTAATGAAGATAGTGATGCATGCAGCGATGGGATTATGTGTTGGTTACCGAGAAGTACGATAACTTGTGGACTTGCCAAATGACGTTAGGAAGAAGCAGTCTGTCTTAATTCTAACATGTAGTTCACCGTCAATCTGATCGGAATATTACCATTATTTGTTAATTTGTGTTGTAGGAATATAATTTTTTTGACTTTCACTTCGTGAGTGTTGTAAAAATAGAAAACTGTTGACATTCACTCCGTAAGTTTTGTATGAAAAGAACATTGTTAGCATTCTCTCCGTGAGTATTGTATGAAAAGAAAAGCGATGACATTCATTCTGTTAGTGTTGAAGAAATATATTTATTTTGGCTTTCACTCTGTGAGTGTTGTTTGAATAGAAAAATGTTGACTTTCACTCTGAGAGTTGTATGAACATGTAATTATTGACTTTCACTCTGTGAGTGTTGTATGAACAGAACAATGTTGACATTCACTCTGTGAGTGTTGTATGAACAGAGAACTGTTGACTTTCACTCTGTGAGTGTTGTATGGACATAAAATTATTGACTTTCACTCTGTGAGTGTTGTATGGACATAGAATTATTGACTTTCACTCTGTGAGTGTTGTATGAACAGAGAATTGTTGACTTTCACTCTGTGAGTGTTGTATGAACAGAACATTGTTGACATTCACTCTGTGAGTGTTGTATGGACATAGAACTGTTGACATTCACTCTGTGAGTGTTGTATGAACAGAGAATTGTTGACTTTCACTCTGTGAGTGTTGTATGAACAGAACATTGTTGACATTCACTCTGTGAGTGTTGTATGAACAGAGAATTGTTGACTTTCACTCTGTGAGTGTTGTATGGACATAGAACTGTTGACTTTCACTCTGTGAGTGTTGTATGAACATAGAATTATTGACTTTCACTCTGTGAGTGTTGTATGAACAGAACATTGTTGACATTCACTCTATGAGTGTTGTATGAACAGAGAATTGTTGACTTTCACTCTGTGAGTGTTGTATGAACATAGAATTATCGACTTTCACTCTGTGAGTGTTGTATAAAACAGAGAATTGTTGACAGCATGAATAACAACTGTATAGAGATGAGATTGCAAGACTTGTAATTAGCCTGAGCCCAGTGAATATCCATTAATTGTCTGGAACTCTTCAGCTTAATTAGAGTAGACAGTGTCAATTTTCGGGCGGTCAGAGTTAGGGGTTGAGTAGCAGTTTATTCCGGTCAGGTATATATATATATATATTTTCATCATGTGTTTACTCCCAAACTTGCACACACCGATACATTTTAAATAGTATCCTAAAGGTGTATTTTGTTCATTTAATTAAACTCGGTCGGCTCTTCTTCTCTCGAAACGTTTTATATACCAGCCTTCGGCAGGTCGAGCACAAACTGTAATGAGGTGATCGCATTTACAACTGTGCCCTTAAATAAATATGGAACGGTAAAAAGTAGCTTGGCGTGTGTGTGATATCTTGAAAGGAAGAGAACTAATGTGTATAAAAGAGCATTAGAAAAAAGATTCAAGTGTAATAGAGTGATAGAACTTGTAGACAGTCGTGTATAATAGAGTGATAGAACTTGTAGGCAGTCGTGTATAATAGAGTGATAGAACTTGTAGACAGTCGTGTATAATAGAGTGATAGAACTTGTAGTCAGTCGTGTATAATAGTGTTATGGAACTTGTAGACAATCGTGTATAATAGAGTGATAGAACTTGTAGTCAGTCGTGTATAATAGTGTTATAGAATTTGTAGTCTGTCGTGTATAATAGTGTTATAGAACTTGTAGACAGTTGTGTATAATAGTGTTATAGAACTTGTAGTCAGTCGTGTATAATAGTGTAATAGAACTTGTAGTCAGTCGTGTATAATAGTGTTATAGAACTTGTAGTCAGCGTGTATAATAGTGTAATAGAACTTGTAGACAGTCGTGTATAATAGTGCTATAGAACTTGTAGACAGTCGTGTATAATAGAGTGATAGAACTTGTAGTCAGTCGTGTATAATAGTGTTATAGAACTTGTAGACAGTCGTGTATAATAGTGTTATAGAACTTGTAGTCAGTCGCGTGTAAAAGTGTTATAGAACTTGTAGACAGTTGTGTATAATAGTGTTATAGAACTTGTAGTCAGTCGCGTGTAAAAGTGTTATAGAACTTGTAGACAGTCGTGTATAATAGTGTTATAGAACTTGTAGTCAGTCGTGTGTAATAGTGTTATAGAACTTGTAGACAGTCGTGTATAATAGTGTTATAGAACTTGTAGACAGTCGTGTATAATAGAGTGATAGAACTTGTAGTCAGTCGTGTATAATAGTGTTATAGAACTTGTAGACAGTCGTGTATAATAGTGTTATAGAACTTGTAGACAGTCGTGTATAATAGAGTGATAGAACTTGTAGTCAGTCGTGTATAATAGTGTTATAGAACTTGTAGACAGTCGTGTATAATAGTGTTATAGAACTTGTAGTCAGTCGTGTATAATAGTGTTATAGAACCTGTAGACAGTCGTGTATAATAGTGTTATAGAACTTGTCGACAGTCGTGTATAATAGTGTTATAGAACTTGTAGTCAGTCGTGTATAATAGTGTTATAGAACTTGTAGTCAGTCGTGTATAATAGTGTTATAGAACTTGTAGTCAGTCGTGTATAATAGTGTTATAGAACTTGTAGTCAGTCGTGTATAATAGTGTTATAGAACTTGTAGTCTGTCGTGTATAATAGTGTTATAGAACTTGTAGACAGTCGTGTATAATAATGTTATAGAATTTGTAGACAGTCGTGTATAATAGTGTTATAGAACTTGTAGACAGTCGTGTATAATAGTGTTATAGAACTTGTAGACAGTCGTGTATAATAGTGTAATAGAACTTGTAGTCAGTCGTGTATAATAGTGTAATAGAACTTGTAGTCAGTCGTGTATAATAGTGTAATAGAACTTGTAGTCAGTCGTGTATAATAGTGTAATAGAACTTGTAGACAGTCGTGTGTAATAGTGTTATAGAACTTGTAGTCAGTCGTGTATAATAGTGTTATAGAACTTGTAGTCAGTCGTGTATAATAGTGTAATAGAACTTGTAGTCAGTCGTGTATAATAGTGTAATAGAACTTGTAGTCAGTCGTGTATAATAGTGTAATAGAACTTGTAGACAGTCGTGTATAATAGAGTGATAGAACTTGTAGACAGTCGTGTATAATAGTGTAATAGAACTTGTAGTCAGTAGTATATAACCTGGCCTCCTCCTAGTTAAGGAGACCGACACTCTGTAACCAGTTTGGTATTAAAGCGGCCTTATTCTCGTATTATGGCTACTCGCCTGCTTTTCATTTTACATCTATACGCGAGTTTGCGAGATAACCAATGTCTGATCATTTGTTACCGAATTCTAAGCAAAACTCCACCGAAATTCTCATTGGTAAAATCATATCGTAACTGAAGGAAAACGTCACCCTCCTCCAATTTCGCGAGACCTCGTGAGACTTCGAAAATTATAAATTCTACAATAAGAAATCCTTTTAACTAACCAGACAAAGCTTCAAATGCTGCATGCTTAATCAATATTAATGAACTTATGCAAAGTTATTTTCTAAAGTCCTGTTTACTGGACCTGGTCCCGTTCACTGGCCCTGTTTAATGGCCCTGGTCCCGTTCACTAGCCCTGTTTACTGGCCCTGGTCCCGTTCACTAGCCCCGTTTACTTGCCCAGGTCCCGTTCACTAGCCTCGTTTACTGGCCCTGGTCCCGTTCACTGGCCCCGTTTACTGGCCCCGTTTACTGGCCCCGTTTACTGGTCCTGGTCTCGTTCACTAGCCCCATTTACTGGCCCTTGTCCCGTTCACTAGCCCCGTTTACTGGCCCTGGTCCCGTTCGCTAGCCCCGTTTACTGGCCCTGGTCTCGTTCACTAGCCCCGTTTACTGGCCCAGGTCCCGTTCGCTAGCCCCTTTAACTGGTCCTGGTCTCGTTCACTAGCCCCGTTTACTGGCTCTGGTCTCGTTCACTAGCCCCGTTTACTGGCTCTGGTCCCGTTAGCTAGCCCCTTTTACTGGCCCTGGTCCCGTTCACTAGCCCCGTTTTCTGGTCCTGGTCCCGTTCATTAACCCCGTTCGCTGTATTTGATTTCATGATAGGCTAATCTTGCATGAAAGTTACGGTAAGGATATGTTATTTTACACATCAATAATTACTTTGATATCTTAATATCCGCGTAGGGTTTTATTTATGTATGATTACTTAAATCTAACATTTTTATTGTGTTATTGGTGCTTTGTTCGCTCCAGACACCATAATATAAAATATTTTAGCTATTCCCAACCGTGATATAGAATATCAAACAAATATTCGGCAGCAAGTAATACAATCCTCAATACAGCAGGGTGTGGATGCCACATATATACTGTAGATAATAGTTCGAGTCCTAAAGGCGTTCCATTTGTGATCTTTCTTGGGATCTAATTGGTGCATTAGAAATAATATTATCTGAAACAGGAATTCTTACATACGTTTGAAAGTTGTGGTCTCGTGGGGTAAGTCAGATATACAGGTGTATCCGATATATAGACCGGTAGAGGTGACCTTACCAACAGGTCAATATGTACCAGATAAAGGTACGTATATCCCAACACATAGTGTGGATCTTAGGTCGATATTTACGTATATTAACGACCTAACACCTAACAATCACTGTTTAGTTCAATCACCGCATGTTGTCAGTATTGTGTAAATTAATAGGAAACCTGCAGGAGACTTTCGAAAGGCGTACATCTACCTGTATTTATGTGAATAACCTCATAGTTTTCTATTCAATATCTCAACCGATAAGAAAATATTTTGTAAGAATGATAATTTCTTTGTGATGATTTGACGTAGAATGTTTACAAACATCGGTAGTTAATCCGGGACAATGTTCAGGTATATTGTTTGATGTCTCACTCCTACATGATGTATACCGTACCCCCGGGGAAGTATGTAGGTCAGAAAAACTGGTCAGAAAAGTCTCACCACAGTCAGCTTGAAGGTCAGAGAAAGAACGTCATAACATAGCTCTTAAAACGCTTTAGTTATCAGAGCAGTGAAATGTTGCTGAGCACTAGTGATTATATATGTACCGAGAAGGCGGTTGTAGATATGTAAAGAAGTTGATGATATATCTCACTAAGTACACTAGACTTTATAGCAATATAAGTACGTCATGCTGGTATGGTCCCGTCAGAGCAGGGGTGACGGTATTCAAAAATACTCATTATATAATCTCAGTGAGAAACATTCACGATTACATAACCTAAAGGAATTCTTGTTTTTAAATTAATATCGTATTTTAAGTGTTGGTGTAATATTTCAACAACTGATATCTTTATTTATATTTGATGGTGATATGTTTTTTACATCAAAATTCTTCACCAATCTGTAGAGCTGGGATAGAACGGTCACGTGTAGGCCTGAGCCGTGTGAACGCCTGGAGCATGGTGATCACTAGGTCATATCAACGATAACCCCCTCCCTACAATCTAACTTATAAAACGATGTTTATGTCCTAGGTACACTGGTTAAGAGTGCGAAAACGCACTTATTATAAAACTAAAACAGATTAAAATTATTTGTCATTTCCTTTCTTTTCAGGTGATCGCCGCGGTCGGTGACCTAGGAGTCCTTACCAACAGTGATGAACAGCGAACCTCAGATTTAGAGTTAGTAAAGGGAGAAAACTCGTCCAAAAATGTCTCGACCAATCAAAGGCAGTAGAGACCAGTCCATTCATCATATGTACGATAATACGGCGTTCACTATTAGTTATCCTTTCATTGAAAACGGTGATGGTAGTAGTGAGAGCCGGGCACAGCAGGATCTAGAACTTGCAGTCGTGACAGGACAGCCATGGCAAGACTCTTCCTCCCCACCCACGGGCGCTGAAGGGAGGGGCTCACTATATCTTAATGTAAATAACAAAAATGATAAAGTTCGGGAAAACGCGCCTCCGTTTAGTGTCAATGTAGCTACAGAGGAAGGGAATTGTTTCAACCTAAAATCTTCCCCCGGGGATTCTCTCACCCCAGGGTCAACCTTAGAGAGCAACATGTCTCTTAGTACACCATTTCTGACCCCTAACGGCAGGGACGGAGTGAATGAAAAAACTACAAGTTCACAGGAAGACTTGGAAAAGAATGGAAAGTTAGAAGGGGGAAAGGAGCACCCCGAAAGAGAAACTTGGGGAAAAAAGGTGGATTTTCTACTCTCTGTGATCGGATTTGCCGTGGATCTTGGAAATGTGTGGAGATTTCCGTATATATGTTACAAAAACGGCGGAGGTAAGTTTTCACTTGTGTTTTTGCCTTTTGTAATATTGTGCTATATATATGCGTGTGTGGTGAATATGTTTGATACAGAGTTTGACAAGCGTAAACAGTACATCTATAAAGTGTATGTGACACAGAGTACATACAGACGTTAGACAAATACTGTTGTAGCCCAGGGCCACACGACAGTAGTGTAAATCATACTTATAACATACACGATCTCCTGACAACAAGAGAATTTGTAATTCAGTGACAGATATCGAAATGTACGGCGGTCCGTCGGATCGATAGTCACGTTTACTGTGCGTTAAACAAGCAGTGCTACACGGGCGAAAAACAAACCAGATTGTCTTGTGTTTTATTCAGCTTTTATATGTAAAACCCTCCCCAGTATTCTCTACACGTACCGAGACAGATGCTGCTGTGCTCACACTCTCTAGCTAATTCTAAACTCGCTTCTTAGTCGGTGATACCAGAAATATCGTACATAACTAAAGCTTTGTTATGTGATCTGATTTTCTTTGTACGAACAGTGATTACGGATGGTTGTGATATGTAGGCATATATGTCGTGACGTTTTGCTGACAAAAAAAGAAAAAAAAAAGGAAAAAAAGTCAAGGCCACGTACAAATTCTTCCAATAATTCATATGATTGTGATTTCGGTGTTTCGTTTACATGTAGCTGAGTTTAACCACGGTGTAATGTTATTTTGGAACAGATTCAAGCTTTAAACATACAAAAATGTAAATAAACGTATTACCTGGCCGATTTAGATACGGTCGTTTTAACTTTTCTATATAATACCAGCTTTAATAATCTACTCAAGAGTTTTCACGGCTGAACAGATAAAGCTATTTATTGGGCTCTATGTATTTTGAATTGAAAAGTAATGAAAAACTATATGCCTTCCCGTTTATAAGTGTCAATTGTAGCGGCTGTAACCTATTTCTGAAGTAAACGCCCTCTGTAAAGCGTAATCTGCTTTCAGTTCTGAAATAATTGTCCTCTATAGGTAGTCAGCTATTAACTGCTGAAGTGATTGTCCTCTGTAGCGGCCGTAACTCTAGTTAAACTACTCCAGTTTTACTTCTGAAGTAAGACCCTCTGTAGCGGCCGTAGCTCTAGTTTTACTTCTGAAGTAAGACCCTCTGTAGTGGCCGTAACTCTAGTTTTACTTCTGAAGTAAGACCCACTATAGTGGCCGTAACTCTAGTTAAACTGCTCCAGTTATACTTCTGAAGTAAGACCCTCTGTAGCGGCCGTAGCTCTAGATTTACTTCTGAAGTAAGACCCTCTGTAGCGGCCGTAGCTCTAGATTTACTTCTGAAGTAAGACCCTCTGTAGCGGCCGTAGCTCTAGATTTACTTCTGAAGTAAAACCCTCTGTAGCGGCCGTAGCTCTAGATTTACTTCTGAAGTAAAACCCTCTGTAGCGGCCGTAGCTGTAGATTTACTTCTGAAGTAAGACCTTCTGTAGCGGCCGTAGCTCTAGTTTTACTTCTGAAGTAAGACCTTCTGTAGCGGCCGTAGCTCTAGTTTTACTTCTGAAGTAAAACCCTCTGTAGCGGCCGTAGCTGTAGATTTACTTCTGAAGTAAGACCCTCTGTAGCGGCCGTAGCTCTAGTTTTACTTCTGAAGTAAGACCCTCTGTAGCGGCCGTAGCTCTAGTTTTACTTCTGAAGTAAGACCCTCTGTAGTGGCCGTAACTCTAGTTTTACTTCTGAAGTAAGACCCACTATAGTGGCCGTAACTCTAGTTAAACTTCTCCAGTTATACTTCTGAAGTAAGACCCTCTGTAGCGGCCGTAGCTCTAGATTTACTTCTGAAGTAAGACCTTCTGTAGCGGCCGTAGCTCTAGTTTTACTTCTGAAGTAAAACCCTCTGTAGCGGCCGTAGCTCTAGATTTACTTCTGAAGTAAGACCCTCTGTAGCGGCCGTAGCTCTAGTTTTACTTCTGAAGTAAAACCCTCTTTAGCGGCCGTAGCTCTAGTTTTACTTCTGAAGTAAGACCTTCTGTAGCGGCCGTAGCTCTAGATTTACTTCTGAAGTAAGACCCTCTGTAGCGGCCGTAGCTCTAGTTTTACTTCTGAAGTAAGACCCTCTGTAGCGGCCGTAGCTCCAGATTTACTTCTGAAGTAAGACCCTCTATAGAGGCCGTAGCTCTAGTTTTACTTCTGAAGTAAGACCCTCTGTAGCGGCCGTAGCTCTAGTTTTACTTCTGAAGTAAAACCCTCTGTTGCGGCCGTAGTCTACTCTTCTGATGTGAGCGTCCTCTATAGAGGCCGCAGTAGTTTGCCCTTACTTTTGAAGAAAACATCTTCTGTAGCGGCCGCAGTTTCTTCTTACTTCTGAAGTAAGTATCCTCTGTACCGACCGTAGTCTACTTTTACTTCAATAGAAAGCGTCCTTTCTGATAGTCATGCTATACCACTGAAGTAATGAAGTGGCCGTAGAATAATCTTACTTCAAATGACCTATGTTGAGGCCATACTTTACTTTTACTTATGAAGTAAGCGTCCTGCATTGAGGCATTACTCTATTCTTATTTCCGATGTAAGTGTCCTACGCAGAGGCCACATCCTACTCTTTCTTCTGAATTAAGCGTCCTGTGTAGCGACCACACTCTACCCTTACTACTGAAGTAAGTGTCCTGTGTAGCGCCCACACTCTACCCTTACTGCTGAAGTAAGTGTCCTGTGTAGCGCCCACACTCTACCTTACTGCTGAAGTGAGAGTCCTGTGTAGCGCCCACACTAACCTTACTGCTGAAGTAAGCGTCTTGTGTAGCGACCACACTCTACCCTTACTGCTGAAGTAAGCGTCCTGTGTAGAGACCACACTCTACCCTTACTGCTGAAGTAAGTGTCCTGTGTAGCGCCCACACTCTACCCTTACTGCTGAAGTGAGGGTCCTGTGTAGCGCCCACACTAACCTTACTGCTGAAGTAAGCGTCTTGTGTAGCGACCACACTCTAACCTTACTGCTGAAGTAAGCGTCCTGTGTAGTGATCACACTCTAACCTTACTGCTGAAGTAAGCGTCCTGTGTAGCGCCCACACTCTACCCTTACTGCTGAAGTGAGGGTCCTGTGTAGCGCCCACACTAACCTTACTGCTGAAGTGAGAGTCCTGTGTAGCGATCACACTCTAACCTTACTGCTGAAGTAAGCGTCCTGTGTAGCGCCCACACTCTACCCTTACTGCTGAAGTGAGGGTCCTGTGTAGCGCCCACACTCTACCCTTACTGCTGAAGTGAGGGTCCTGTGTAGCGCCCACACTAACCTTACTGCTGAAGTAAGCGTCCTGTGTAGCGCCCACACTCTACCCTTACTGCTGAAGTGAGGGTCCTGTGTAGCGCCCACACTAACCTTACTGCTGAAGTAAGCGTCTTGTGTAGCGACCACACTCTACCCTTACTGCTGAAGTACATGCAAGTGTCCTCTATAACGATCGTAGTCGACTCTCACGTCTGATGTCAGTATAGCGGCTACAGTTTTCCCTTATTCAAGAAGTATAGATCCTCTAACGCGACCGGTACCTACTCTCAATTTTGAAGCAATCTAAAGTGGATGTCGCTTGCATAAGAGACATGCGCAAAAGCTTTAGCGGAGTTTGCTTACTGTGTACAAAATAGAAATAAATTTCTATGAAGGTTCAAGCCGTTAGTGTTTGTTCTAGAGTTATTATAATCTTTTTCGTTCATTTCCTGTCTGATTAGAATTAAACCTTGTGTCTACTAGAATGTGGATAGAATAGAGGTTTTCGTCATGAAGAGTGCACTATGGCCTGTTTATGTTTGACAAACTAAGGAACAAAATGCACGATAACCGGTGCGTGTGTACCCATAGATTGATTCGACACTCAGTGATGTCAAGAAGTCAACTAAATTCTTGTTTCTGTCTAACCGAATCGATAAGAAATATTACACACAATCTGTATGTACGAAAAATCACCGTCTTATCACACTCGTCACAATAACTTACAGTGGAAGAGGGGAGGTGAAGCGAATATTCGAGGGTAGGAGCGAGAGGGCAAAAAGAGCAGGGAAGGAGGGCTAGGGAATAAGGGGAAATTAAGGATTGAAAACGAAAGATGACGGAGAAAAATATGAGGAGAACAACAGGTAAGGGTAGGAAAAACGAGAAGGGACGAACGGCGAATGAGAAGGAGGGAGGCAGATGGAGCGGACAAAAATAGAGGAAGGTTAAGGGAGGGGAGGGAAGGAAAGTGAGGAGTTGGGAGGGGATTAAGGACGTGAACAGAAAGGAAGAGGGACGGCGAAGAGAACAATGGGCGACGGGAAAAGAGGAGGACAAGTGAAAATAATGAGGAGCGTGAAGAACACAGAGGAAAAGGGACAGTGAAGAGAAGGGGGACAGTGGTGAGAAGGGGGACAGTGAGGAGAAGGGGGACAGTGAGGAGAAGGGGGACAGTGAAGAGAACGGGGACAGTGAAGAGAAGAGGGACAGTGAAGAGAAGGGGGACAGTGAGGAGAAGGGGGACAGTGTAGAGAAGGGGGACAGTGAAGAGAACGGGGACAGGGAAAGAGAAGGGGGACAGTGAAGAGAAGAGGGACAGTGAAGAGAAGGGGGACAGTGAGGAGAAGGGGGACAGTGAAGAGAAGGGGGACAGTGAAGAGAACGGGGACAGGGAAAGAGAAGGGGGACAGGGAAAGAGAAGGGGGGACAGTGAAGAGAAGGGGGGACAGTGAAGAGAAGGGGGGACAGTGAAGAGAACGGGGACAGGGAAAGAGAAGGGGGACAGTGAAGAGAAGGGGGGACAGTGAAGAGAAGGGGGGACAGTGAAGAGAACGGGGACAGGGAAAGAGAAGGGGGGACAGTGAAGAGAACGGGGACAGGGAAAGAGAAGGGGGACAGGGAAAGAGAACGGGGACAGGGAAAGAGAAGGGGGACAGTGAAGAGAAGGGGGACAGTGAAGAGAAGGGGGACAGTGAAGAGAAGGGGGACAGTGAAGAGAAGGGGGACAGTGAAGAGAACGGGGACAGGGAAAGAGA